TCAGCATCCTGCAGCTGAAGGTATGGCTGTTACGCCTGGTCGCTTCTTGAGGCCAAGGAACTCCATTTACTGGGGGATGGAGAAAGGACAAGAGGGGTAGTTAGGAGCTGTGCCGTGCACACATTCCCCCTGACTTCTCAAGGACCTGCTGGATAAGGCGACAGAAGGAGAAGTGCCGACATGGGGGGGAAAACCAGCTCGCTGCCCAGGTCAGGGGCGAGCTGAGAGCAGAGCCGGGGGCAGAGCCCTCCCCACCAGCCCCCGGGGCTCCTTCGGACCTGCTGAAGACCCCGTGCCCAGACCCACGGTACCAGCCAAGCCATAAGAGCACCTACAACCCCAACTGAGATCAGCACGTCATCGTGAGAGTCATTGCTCTAACGTTTATGAATTGCTCCTTAAATTGCTGGTAAGTCTTCTCATCTCCATCTTACGGGCAGGGAAACTGAGGCACAGGGTCTCTGAGTCACTTCCAGAGCTTGGGAGGGCTCCTGCCTCTTGCTATGGTCCTTGAAATCCCCCCGAAGCAATGCTCCCGGGACTTTTCCAGCAAGTCCAGCTGAGCATCTCCATAGAAATGAATTTTTATTTTGCTTCCACCCCATTTCTGGGGTAAACCAGAGATCTTCTGGTATCGCAGCAGCAAAAACCTTTCATTTTCTTCTATTACCTGGCTTTTTTCCAAAAACCCCTGGGCAGCAGTTGAAAGATTTTGTTAACCCTCTACAACTTCTTTGTGGATATCCGTATTCAGCCCAAGTGATTTTGCCACCAGCAGATTATCAAGTTTTCATGCAACCTGATCTACAAGAAGAGCTGAGGGGCTTGTAACACCCAAGGAAAGACAAAATACACAGCCTTAAACTGGGTAACCACAGGGAAAAGGCGATGCCTGAACCTCTGTAGGCTCAATCTGATGAGTGCCCATAGATTTAGGTAGTTTAAGACACTGTATTTACCCAGAAGGAAGACAAGTGTGAATTTCAAAAAACCCCTATTTTTAAGTCAAGCTACTTGGAAAAGGTTCATCTTCTCTTGTGTTTCTTCAAAGGTGTGAGTGGATGAGGGATCAGTGATGTCCCACCCACGTCAGCCACCCAGAGGATGCTCCGTCTCCAGTCACCGAATAAAACCTTCTGCTTCGGTTGCTTCCAACACCCCGCAAGTGCCTTCACCACACGATGCTTCCTCCCACCCTCGCAACTGTTTTCCCCAGTGTAGGGGACCACCGTGAGCTCACCCCTTGCACCGTGACCTCTTCTCACACCCCAAGGTGCGCCACATCCCCATGCTAGATACTTGGGCTCTGCAACCAGCTGGGGACAACCCTCCTCCAGCTGGGAGGACATCCTAAATGAACTGGGATAAGCGAACAGGCTCAGTCCCCCAAATCAACACCTTGAAATCCTCCTCCTCATTTCCCTAAAGCTCCTACGTGTGCCCCTCACTTCGGGCAGATGAGTCGGTTCTTCCCATCCACAAGCCAAAGTCGTAGGCAAAGGTTTTCTTAGTAGAGAAAGACAAAGGGAAGATGACTTGAATATTGTCATCTACCAGCTATTTACTCAAAAATCTAATATTGATATCTCACTGGTAGGAGATATTTCACTAGGCAAAGGTTTACGGATTATTACCTGGCTTGGGTATATCTCTGAATTTCACAGTAAACAACACAAAAAATAATAATATATATAAATAATAGATATAAAATACAATATAAGGCCAGCATCACTGAAGACGCAACGGCATTTTCGACAGCGTTCTCCAAGCACCAGCTGATAAAAACCCCACCTCAAGGGTTTTCTTACCTAGAGACTTCGGCAACAAGTTCTTGACGAACTCGGCGTGATCCCCCACGTGCAGGATGCTATAGACACTGGTGTTCATGAGCTCCTCCTGGTTATAACCCAGGTAGCTGGTCACATTCTCGGAGACGAAGACGATCCTCCCTTCGCGGTTCACAACGAAGAAGAAGCCGTCCAACGCCTGTAAGGGGAATAAACCTGGGCAGCATGCGGGCAATGGGTCCCAGAGCAGGTCAGGATGCTCAACGACCATGGGCAACCTTCCTCTGCCTTTTGCACCTTGGCTTCATCCCCACTCTATATTATAGCAGTGATCAAACAACTGCACATTTGCCTAAACACGCAGAATCATAGAATGGTTTGGGTGGGAAGGGATGATTAAAGGCCATCTAGTTCAATCCCCCTGCAGTGACCAGGGACATCTTCAACTAGAGCAGGTTGCTCAGAGCCCCGTCCAACCTGATGCCCCAGGGATGGGGCATCTACCACCTCTCTGGGCAACCTCTGCCAGGGTTTTGCCA